GCGCATTATCGTCGCGAGAATAATTAATGCGACTATAAAGCCCAAATGATAATTAGTTAATAACAGTGGGAATAATCAACAACAAAGTCAATTTACGCAACATGACGTTGTACATGAAAATGAAATATTTATTCGTTAACGGAATAACGCGTAATACAATCGAGTTTCCTTGACGAGCTAGCGGATTTTAATTGCGACACGGCCGCACGTTCACTCGCCGCGAACTTTCGCGACTGTTGCGTTTCGCGGTTTCGCGAAACAGCCGGAATCGATTACGTCGGTTACACTGAACGTGTGTCGTTTGATTCGTGAAATTTGTGACGGTCGATAATGCAACGCGGTGTGTGTGTGTGTGTGTGTGTGTGTATGAATGCAAGACCGAAAATATCGAATATTAAAGCTAACTCTCGGTTGCGCGAGACACACTCGCTATTCGACATTGTCGGGCTGAGCCCGACTAGGTCGAATTTAACGTGTTTATCTTGCGTTCCCCGCGCGATATTCTCTCGTTTGACTCTCGGTTAATCTTAACTAACGTTCACCCCGGGAACAGACTCTATTATATATACGAGTATACAAGGTATACAAGGAATTCAGCCGCGATCGGACAGCCGCGCGTTGCTGCGAGTGCATCTCCGAGTGATTCGCAGAGTGCAGTTCGGCGAGGCGGTGCACTCTTGGCACCGTGTCAACTGTCGTCCGGGTAAACCCGGACGGTATCTCTTGCTCTGGATTGCGAGAGACACGAGGCTCGAGAGAGAGAGAGAGAGAGAGAGAGAGAGAGAGAGAGAGAGAGAGAGAGACGGTTGACGGTAACGACGATATCTTTTGTTCGCGCTCGCCCCTCGCAGGAATGTTTTCATAGAAAATTAGGTAGGTTGGACGGACGGTGAGTGGGTGAGTGAGTGGCGAGAGAGGAGAGGAGAGAGATGCGAGGCGCGAGAGATGATGGCTCGGTCGCAGGCCCGTGGCGATAGTTACACGATCATCCACCGTGTATAGTCGCGCAGGCTGTTCGGGGGCGAGCTCGGGGGTGGATTCAATCTAGTGGGATTACCCGCAGCTCGGCTTCTATCGTTCGCTGTCGCCCCCTACGTACCGGCTACGGACCTACGCCGGCGTTACTCTCTCTCTCTCTCTCTCTCTCTCTCTCTCTCTCTGGCTTGCCAGGAAGGAATTCGATATCCTGCGTGTCAACACGCATCCTTTCGTCGCGCCAGGCCGGACTATCTTAATCCTTGAGTGAGCGGTCAAAATAATCTCGGAGGAATGGTTGGCGCGATATTGAATATTTTACTCGCGGAATATATTCTCCCCCCTCCTTCTCCGTCTCTCTCTCTCTCTCTCCCTCTCTCTCTCTCGATAACTGAGACGCGTGGGACGCGTGCAAGATTAACAAATTCCGATTCCGGATATTAGGCATTAATCTCCGACGGCGATCGAATCGGCGCGAGCGGACGAATCGTTCGTCGAGATAACACTGGTGATCCGAATTTCCTCGGCGACATATACATGCGCGTAGGTGTTCCCTCACGGACAAACGGTGTTTGTCGTTTCTCTGCGATATACAAGGGCGGCGGGGGCGAAGAGGGTTCCGTTGCGTTTACATGTGCACTAACATGCGCCAGTGTAATTATTGCACGCATGGAAGAACCTGACAAAAGCAAGGCAGCTACGGGCACAGACCGTGCCCGTGCGATAAAGCGATGGTGCGTACCCGGTTAATTTCGTGATTGCGTACACAAATGCTAATTATATACAGCGGGTACGATATTTGTTTGGAAATCTGTTTCTCGACGCGCTTTTGCACGTGCTCATTTGCCACTAATTACAATGTTGTTCAATATTAACCCGAATCTACAAATACGAAATGTATTAATGGAAGGACACCCCCTTCGGGGTTTGCTGCTGCAGCAAAATCCTTAAATATATCTCGTCGTAATGAGAATGCGGTTATTATTGACACACGCACGCGCGCGCGCGCGCGTGTATACGTTAACAATCATCACGGACCTGATGTAATCAAGTTTTCCACGTGTCCCATATATTTTATTCGTTAGAGCGCCACGTGGTGCGGGCGCCCATTTATCTTTTCGTTAATTGTGTCAATTGGCTTTTCATTATGAAACTATGCGCGATATTAACCCTCTCGAGCCCGGGAATTCGAGCCCGGGAGTCGGACGGAAAATGATTTTCGCTCGAAATAATTGAGCAACGCAGAATTGAGTCAACAAGAGACAATTAATTATCAGAAGTCGCGCGTGTAAGAGGATTTTTTTCTCTACGTTACGTTGCAGATTTAATTTAGCTTTGAAGGATGATAATAATCAAATGGATCGGCCCGCAACACCCACGCGGTGTGTATTTTGTATTTGCAGTGCGGATAACAACAATAAATGTGCAGTGACTATCGATCGCGATGAAAATATAGCGGAAATCTGAAATATAGCTTATATAGTATCGTCGACAGGGCTCCGCTCTGAAAGCTATTTGAAGTTCACTCGTTTAGTGGAAATCAATACGTCAACTGGATTTGAATTTATGTTTGACTCGTGTCGAGCGAAATTATATTCCTTCCGGGCAGGATTACGCGTATTCGCTGTATAATCGAATTATCAACGGAAAATAACGTGCGTTACGCTCACCGTTTCATCGTTTCGGCTCTTCGCTTCGGGTTTGCGGAGAATTCGCGGCGATTTCTGGAGAAAATTCGCGGAGAAAATCTGAAATTCTTATCCGTGAAGAATAGCGCGGATACGGGCATTCGCGACGCTTAAGAATTACCCCCGAAGCCAGAAATGAGAAAATATTTGAAGATTACGCCGAAAAGTGCAGTTTTATGAGTTAGATCAGAGGCGCTTGATGCTTGCGCGACCTTTCTTTTTTCTTTTTCTGCTTTTTGCAGAGAGACGACGAACAAATGCCGGCAATGCGCCCGTTACCCGAGCTTCATTCGTTTAGCCGGGCAGATTAAAAAGCTCTCCGCGACAGGATTTACGAGGATCGTGCGACGTTCTTAGGGCCGCTTCGCGAGAATGCTCCCCTTTTTCCCGCAGCGACGTGCTCGCGACGTCGAGCGCGACGGGAGAGATACATACGTACGTCGTCGCGTGCGGCAGCGCCGAGTACAAATCTGCCGTGCTTGTTTTCAACGCTGTTATTCTTGTCACTTGAGACTTCGCTGCGCGCCGTGCGCGTTTACGATAGCCATGGCTCGCCGCAACAGGGCGAGCCGAAGGATCAGCGAGTGAACGACGGGCGCCACGTAAATCCGTTGAGGGATAAAAATTGCAACATCAACCGGGGGAAGGGGCGCCCGTCCGCTGCGCCGGATAGCCGACGGCGAGGGTTGTAGTCTAATACCGAACGCTGATAACAGAGATACGATATTACTTATTTTTGATGCGACGGAGCTTATTGAGGCACAGCTAGGAGGTGGAGGGTCGTAGGAAGAGAAGAAATTACTCCGTTCGCGCCGGCACCGATGTTACGTAAGGTAGCGTAAAAAAATAACAACTCGTACGTCTCGTAATGACACTCGTTAAATGCGAGAATGATGGCGGTTGGGGGGGGGGGGGGGGGCGAGTAGAGTGCACCAGATTGCGGACGATATTATAATTAACGATGGCGCACCACGTGACACTCGGTTATTGCGCTGTGCATGCATAAAATTGCCGCGGACATTTCAAAAACAGGCGACGCAGGCGAGCCTGTAGAGCGACGCGTGAATATCAATGTAGCACCGTATTACCAGCTGGAAATTGCGGTGTATACATGCACGGGGAAGATTTTAATCCTCTGTCGGCCGATCGACGGGTCGAGAGAGAGAGAGAGAGAGAGAGAGAGAGAGAGAAAGAGTTCTTCCTAGCAGGTTATCACTTTTGAGCGAGGTTTCATGCGCTCGCAAATTTGACGGGATTTTGACGGACACCGACGTTTTCGACGTTTCAAACGCATTTTGCTAGATTTTAATCACGACGTCATTGGCGGACTCGAAATTTGCGTCTCCAGCTGTATCGATTTCTGCTTGGTAATTTCGACGAGCGATATCTCTCTTTCTCGGAACATCGCGATTGCGATGCGGAGTTAAATGTGCGGCGTACGATATTTTTGGCGATAGAGAAAAAGGGACTTTCGCCGAAGCAGTAACGCAGGAATCGTCCGTTAGCTGAAATTGCAAAATGCTCGGGGGAGTAATTGAATTCGAGCGGCGAGATGAAATGTGTTTTCGGCGTATATGCCAATAACTCTAAGCAAAATAACTTGCGCGTGCACGTCCGATATGCATCCTATATCAATTTTATCCTCGTCGACTCTTCTCTCGGATGAGTACATACATAAAACATCCACGCTATAAATCTCGATATATATATATAAATCGAGCTGATTCGAATAAATCCTGTCGCGCGATACACGCGTCTGATATTTAATGCATCGCGTTCGTTAGTGTGGCGGTTTGTTTTTCGCGGTGTGTCTTGTCGCGTGATACCGCGGTCATTAAATTTAATGACGTTTTAATGATCCCGGTTAGCCGTGTAGTACAAAATTGTTATGATGGTTCGCTTTAACGGCGGTCGCGTTCGGATGCTTATTTCACAATTTCACTCTTACGGAGCATCTATAATTAATTTCAAACACATAATTAATCAAGTGTTGTTAGCGCAGCATAGCTAATGTAAAGCAGGGGTGCGTTATTCATGCGTTACACTAAGCAACTACTAATCAAATAATCAAATTTTCATTTGTTATTTTCCTCAAAAGCTTATCGCGCTTCTCTTATCGCGTAGACGCGATGTCACGTTCACTGTCGTGTCTGTCGCAACACATGTTATTTGAACATTCAATCGCACGCGTTTTATCAGAGCGAAGAGGAAGAAACGACACATCGATGCACATTGTGCAAGCAATTTTTGTAAAAAAATACAATTGATTTCACAAGTCGATATGTGTGCGCGCGCGCGCGTGTGTGTGTGTGTGTGTGTGTGCTTTTTTGCTTGCAGATCGCGATGGGAAACATGTTCGAAATTCCGAGCGCATCAGACCGTATTGAGAGTTCAGCTTATTCGGCGAGACTCGTCTAACGTCGTCCGGCCAAATCGAGTCGACGGGCCGAAGCGAGGCCGAAGCCGCGACACCCTAAGCAAGAAAGATGTAATTTAATTTTCGTCGTACTTTGAACGTGCGCGCAGCGTGACGTGAATAAAGGAGGCGCATCGGGCCGCGCGAGTCGAGGCGATCGTTGACATCGACCAAGTCCGAAGCGTAAAATGCGGCGCGTCCCGCTCTGAGGAAGATGCTGGTGGATGACTGCGGAAGCGGAATGGGGTGGACTACGGCTAGCGTGCGCGGGGGTTGGTCCACCCCGGGAGGATGCAGAAACTCAGCCATGAGCTTCGGCGGTAGCGTGCCGTCGTTGCACCCGACCGGTTCGATAAGATCGTTACGCTCGCAACATTCTATTCAGGTGAGCGAATGAGACCGGCGGAATCCGCGGGATAATTCCGGCTAATTCGCGCGAATTTCGATCGCATCGATGTTTATGATATATTGTTTATCCGAGTGGACCGCCCGCGTGCACTCGACTAGCCTCGGCAAACGGTATAGAATTGGTATGAGGCGAAATTTTAGAAACAAAATATTCAAAAGAGACGAAGATATTTTATCTCTCGTATCGATTTCATCTCTCGATTCGCTTTAATATTATATTCGCGTATAATATTATTTTTATATCAACGACCTGTGTAGAGGATATATAGTCGTGACTCGCAATTTTGCTCTCGTGTACCGTTGCTATCTCAGTCAGCACATCTCGGCGCCTCTAAACTAAATTTTTAACTAATCGATAGGCTATATATTTTTTTTCTCTCGCCTGAACTTCGCGAGAAATATACCACCGTAAGAGAATGTAGAGAGAAAGAAGACAAACTTGTTAAGCCTGACGAACATTTTTCGAAGAGATCGTTCCCGCGTGGAATCGTAATGTTCGTTATGTATGTGGTACACGAGCGAATTGTATTAACGTCTAGTGAGACGAGGCCGAGCCTCGTGCGATATTACGTAGCTACGTCAGCGCGGAGTAATATTTCGTGGCAATAATAATGAACACGGGTGATTGTGTACACGAATTCGCTACATCGTGTTTCCTGCCCTCCGCTCCACCTCGTTCTCTTCCTCTCTCACTCTCTCGCTCTCGCTCTCAAGAGCGATGAAAATTTATCTTGCTTGCAGGCTCCGCCCGAGACACCGCGAAGATGCATACATTGTCATCCAGTACATGTCCCCAGCACCCCCAATAATTACATGCAACATCCTATGCAGTACTACACGCCGACTCATTGTATAGAGGGTCAGAATGGCACGTATACGCCGCATCGTGGGAGTTCGTATCACGGTGGTGAGTTTACTTTTCAGTTAGTACAAGCGCGCGCCAAATAGCGTCAACTATATCCTTGATACTGGACTGGTAACACGGATATGCTTCGAAGTTATGCACCGCACCGCCCGCGCGCGCGCGCTTCCTGCTTTTCGCAATTTCAATATTAAACGTTGGATGTAACGCGTTTCAGCGCCACACACGTATTTAAGTTAATCAAGTAATTGAGAAAGTACTGCTTTGCACTGCGTTGAATTATGCAATTTTCATTTTCACTCTTCTGGAGGAAATTTCGTTCAAAGAAATATGTATCGCTTACGGGCTATCGCATCATCGACGTTTCGTCCGCCTCATTTATTTACGCATGCTCGAAAGTTTGGTATAGTTGAATGAATAACTCGGACCTACTCTTCTTCTTCTTCTTCTCTCTCTCTTTCTCTCTCTCTCTTTCTCTCTCTCTTTCTCTGTCTCTCTCTCTCTCTCTCTCTCTCTCTCTCTCTCTCTCTCTCTCTCTCTCTCTCTCTCTCTCTCTCTCTCTCTCTTTCTCTTCCGCACGCGTATTAATGTAATACGTAGTCATAAAATATATACTGTGGTCATTTAATTTACGAAAGGTTACGTTAAATTTGCACTGATATGTGGACGTTTCATTAAACGGATCCTAATTGAACGAGCTGAATTAATCCAAATTAATTGGGATTAAAACGCGCGACGGGTTCGACGAGAGTTTAAGGTAACATCGTCGCGCTGGGTGTGCCTAATTTGCCGTAGAAATTTGCTACGAGATAATAACAGAAATTGCATCGTGAAATCCTTCCGTAAGATGACTTTACAAAACGGTTCGTCGTAACTCGCACGGCCGTTCCGGCCGAATTGCTTTTAGCGTATCATTTGGTTCGATTTTCTCTGCGAGTGCGTGTTCGCACGGTGTGCGAATTTATGCATAAAGGTACATCGACCTCGTGGAAATAATTTCAAAATTCGCAACGAAAGCTGCCGCCGCCGCCCGGCTGTGCCCATTGTCTCGTTCACGATGTACATCGAGAAACGTCGTAGAACGAAAAAGTAGAACGAGATGAAAAGGCTATATGACGTATAGAATAAGATCCTTACTCAATCCCACTTAACGGCACCTCGAACAGAAAGATACCTTGGAATTTCGAGTTTGATGTATCATTGTGTCTATCAAAAATGTAGGTCGACCGTCGGTTCTTCAATCCCCGTAGACAGAAGCGAATCCGAGCGCGGCGCGAATTGGAATCGTGCCTTTGCACCTTGCTCCTTTTGTTCGAAGGAACCCGTCCGCGTCGCGGTGCGCAATGTCGTCGTAATGAGCAACGAGAAAGAGAGTTCAATATTCCTTTACCTATTCTATCGATGGGCGCGAACGATATAAGAATACATGAACCAGCGATACGCGCGTTTCCACTTTATTCTCTCAAATGCATAACGTTAGCGAATGATGTGAAGGGGACCTGAGAAAAACGGAGACAGAGAGAGAGAGAGAGAGAGAGAGAGGGAGAGACTGCGCATATATAATAAGGATAGAATAAAATGATAATTCTCAAAATTTCAGACGCTGAAGATCTCCGGAAAGCTTTCCTCTCGTGCGCGCGCGCGCGCGCGCGCGCAAGTCTCGTTATTCACGTCAAAAGTCCTTGCGCATTCGTGGCGTCTTTCGCGCTTTCGTTCATGTGCATTTCCGATGTGTTCGACGTGACATTTTATACATCCATATCGTTTGGGTCACTTCCACGGAAACGCGACACTGTGATTCCGTTAAGGGCGCGACACGTTCGCTGAAGACGCGCGAACGTGCCGTAGTTCTTGCAGCATCCTGAGGGCATGCTCGTAACTCGTCCCGCGGCAATTTCGCCCCCGGGCCGAGCCATTTCTCTACAATTTCAACGTCTCACGTCATTTTCGGCAAAATACCTCCTGTCGCCCCCGTCCGTCTTTTTCCTTCTCTCGCGCCGCGCGTTAAAGCGCGTTCCGTCGACGCGAGCGAGCGAGCGCGAGCGAGCGCGAGCGCGCGCGCGCACCTTCTTTGCTACGCGCGCTCCTTTCATTCCTCGTCCTCGTTACGTCGGTTAATGAAGAATATTTTGTCTGCGCTACTAATTTGCCTACCTAAAAGCGGACGCGCGCGACACCTCTCGTTATCAACGACGACGACGACGACGACGACGACGACGACGACGACGACGTATAAATAATAATCTTCTCTAAACGGTTTTACACGTCGAACGTTAACGAGCAACAGAGCTCGCGTAGGAATTTGCCTGTTTACAGGCACGTCAGTCGCGGGGATTCAATTGCAGCGGCAAATACAGTTTTGCTTGCACCGACGCGACGCAACAGCGCACGGTGACGTACGGCTTGCGTGTACGTGTGCTTGCGGACTGTGCGCGCGATACGAAAAGGGGTCACTCGCGAATAAATTAGAACACGCAACATGTCTCGCGACATGTTTGCGAACGTTGCAATCTTAATCGCGTCACGTAGGCGTGCGTTTCGCGTGCGGTACGCATTCATCGAAATCGCTCGCGAATCAGTCGCGAGGAGAGTCGAATAACGACGCGGGGTGTCGTTCGAGAGCTCGACGAATTTCTGCTTCATTCGTGGCATTTTCTTCAATTTTTCAAGAAGAACCGAACATTCGATTAGAGAGCGCCGATGAGCCCCACGTCTCTTGACGTTGACGAGGCCTGACCTGCGGGCGGACGTGCGCGTAAATTTTAAACGACATCGCTGTTGCGCTGAAAATTTGATTTCCTGCCGGGACGCGCGCGGTGTGCGTACGACGAAATCCACGGGTGTTTAACATTTCACATCGTCGGAATGGAAAAGTTTATTATACTTTGCGCTTCCGCGCTGACATCGACGGCGCGAGCGCGGGCGGCGACGACGCGTCGTCGATAATTTCGTTAGGTTTGCCGTTTTGCCGCCGAGAGCGGACGAAGCTGAATCCCGAATCGATGACTTTCGCTGTCGGTGAAACGGGCTCGTTTCCGTTCGTCGTCGACGATCGTCAACCCTCCGCGCGGGTCTGTCCTTTGACCCGACGCCCGACGGCCGTTACCCTCCAATGGCGCGAGAGCCATCTTCTTCGCCCTTTCAAAAGTGCATTTACCTAATCCTCGCTTCCCCGCTTCCCCGCTTCCTCCCCTCGTCCACGTCGCTGTTTCTTTCAACCCGTTTTGTTGCCCATCTCGCACCCTGTCTCATGCAAACGCCGTTGCCAACCGCCGTCGTCGTCGCCGTCGACGACGGCGACGACGACGGCGGCGGCGGCGGCGGCGGCACGGACGCCCGGTAGCCGCCGTTGTGCCGAGCAAAATTCGATACGTTCGCGCAAAGGGGAGAATTAAGCGTTTCAACTAGATGCTGAAATGCCCCTCGCGACTGTGCAACAGCGACTGAAAGACGCTGTTTACGCTGTTTAATAAGAAGCCGCGTGTAACCGCGGTTCTTTGGCTCACATCGTGACGACGACGGCTCGAAGACGACTCGCTGCCGCTTAATCCCGCGCGCAATTTTTGCCTCAAGTAATACCTCAAGTAATAGCGCGGAAAGCGCTATCTCACGATTAATTACGATCCGTTCGTGCGTTTTCTCTTTGTTTTCTTTCAGACACCCGTCTGCGTTATATGGATGCCGACGAGAGCATGGGCGGTAACACCAACTGGGTTCTGGGCGACTTGCGCAGTTTGCATCGTTGCGTTCCCGCACTTCGCCGCACAGGTACCGATATCTTTCACGAAATTTGCATTCGAATGTTCCACGGACATACGACAAAGCCGCTGCGCGCGCCTTCTCTCTGCAGTGTCTCTCTGCGTTTTGCAAAATTTTACAAGATTGAAGCAAGCACTTGCCGAGCGAAAAAAAAAAGTGATCGAATGCAACTGCTTGCCGTAGTAACTCTTGCGCGGAGGATAAAGCGCTGAAATTCTTAAGCCGGGATTCGCGCCTCGAAATAACATTGAAACGTTGCACACATCGACGAAAGAAGCGGTCCGCGATTTTGCTCGCGCTCGTGCATGAAAGATCTCGAGTAGCGGGCTGTTGTGAAGATTTGCATTATCGACACGGCATCGGGCGACTTAGCTGCGCATTGCGTTGAGAAAGGATAATCTCCTTTATCATCAGGCATAGACGTCGCCGGTATGCGAACGCACTTCTATCCGGAGGGAGGATGGGGCTGGTTGGTGTGCGCCGCCGGTTTCCTCGCCCTGTTGCTTACCACCGGGATGCAGCTCGCCTTCGGACTTCTTCGTCTTTACGCCGCGCGACATCTCGGTGAGCTGCACTTGATGGACATAGGTACGTCGAGCATCTCTTTCTCTCCTATCTATCGATAGCGCGCGCGAGCGAGCGAGCGAGCGAGCGACTTGGTCCTACTTGAATTTCACGTGTACGAGAAGCGGTGCGCACGTTCTCGCGTGTGTATTCCAGGGTATCCCAGGACAATCGAAGCACGTCCTACCAGCACCGTACCTCCACGGTCGTGGAGGTTGACTCGTTGAAAGAGACGAGGGAGGTTGTTTTTTAATCGCAAGGCGTGCAAATGCCTCCCCGCAGCAGCGGACGCTGCTCCGCAAAAATGTGACATTCTTATTTCGTGCGGTATCTCGTGCGAAAGTGGATTTTTCCGCTTACGTTTAAGCTCGGCGAGCTTGCAAAAAAGCAGCAGGAGGAGCGGCAGAAAAAGGGGCAGAAAGAGTATGTTTATTTGTGAAAATAACGCGATTCAAATCTGCTCGCCGAGCGGATCGGACTCTATTTTCGCGTACATGCTTCCGCTTCCGGCAACGCGAAACGTTTTCCGGCGCTTCCAGCGATTCCGCCCTCGTGCTCATTAATATTCCACCTTCTCGCGAGCGTTGCTTTACACGCGGGGCGTGTACCGGAGCCGGAGCCGGAGCCGGGCTCTATCACGCGCGGCGCACAGCGCGCGCGCAGCGCACAGCGCGCGCCGGATGTTTTCCATCTGGATGCACATCGCGCTGGACAGTTTTCGAACTTTAACGCGTATATCATCGTATATAAAATCCTATTTCTTAGGACAGCGACGGCACGTTTTACGACGAGTCGCCGCAACAAATTACAACGTGACTGGCGTAACCCACATTCCGCCGACTCCTCGAGATGGCAGATGCTGTCCTCCGGACCGCGAGAAAGAAAGGGGATGAAAGGGGAAGAGAGGGAGTGAGAGAAAGAAAACAGAGAGGGCGAAAGAAAGGAAAAAAAGGGAGAAGAGAGCGGGAGAAAAAACGTAGCGTAAACCCGCAATGGAATTTCATGTTCCGCGAATAGTTCGAAGTCGACGTATTCCCACGGAGCGGCCGGAGCTGATTCGATGCATTTGTCTTCCACGTCGGAAATTGACTTTCGAATGGAAAGGGTAGGAGACTGTCCGCGATTAATTGGCAAATAAGTAATCCCCTTACTTATTTGTACCTTTGACGTTCTAATTCGCGAAGATCGTTCAACGATTAAATAGTTTTGTTGATTGTACCGCTCTCCCTCCCCCTCTCTCTCTCTCTCTCTCTCTCTCCCTCCCTCTCTCTCTCTCTCTCTTTCTCTCTCTCTCTCTCTCTCTCTCCTCTCTCTCCCTCTCTCTCTCGCGTCTTTTGCGAACTTGTCTATTTTATGTAAATGCCCATCACGCGGCGAAATTGCTGAAAATGCGCGTGGGAAAGGCGAATTCATCGCGAAAAGTGCATACACATTTGTCGAAAATTAAGCGAGTCTCTTTGATGACTTTGTGCGCGCCAAGTGACGTATTTTAATTTATATTTGTATCCTCATCGCGCACGACGAAAACTTCATTCCGTTCGGTCGTTTGTTGTACATTGTTGCGTTTTGTTTCGCATTTTCCGCCTCGCGTCGGGAATCGAGAAATTATATTGTCATTTTTCGTCGTCGTATCGGCGTTTCCGCCTTGCTAACATCACGGGGGGGGGGGGGGGGCTTCGATGAATTCGTGTTTATCTCGCGAATAAATCTGAGCTTCGAAACTCTGCAGGTTTATCAATCGGCGTTTCAATTGGCGCGTTATAAAACTATCGGTCGCAGAAACACCGCCGACACAACGGAAGCTCGGCTTTTCGATACAGATTTCGTGGTTTTCCAAACAAATTCCGCCCGCCGCAGAAAACATATACCGTGTGCCGTGTATCCGTCCGGTCCGGACGGAATAACCGCTCTCTCGAGTTTGTTATTCTGTTCATTGACTGTTTGCTATTTGTTACCATTAATTAACTGTTTGTTATTACGTCGAGAAACTTGAACTCCTCACAAACTGACATAACTGACGTAACGAAGCCATCGGGCGATATAGTAATGTCAGGTGGAGAGTCTAGACTTTGCCTTTTGTCTCGTACGACCCAAGTTTAACTTCACAAAGGGCCCTGTGAGAATGACATTACCTATGCTTGCCTAAATACTGTCTTACGTACTTAGACACAGTTTCGCGTAAATTTGCTTAGAGATCGCACAGGAGAAAAGAGGAAGAGAGAGAGGGAGAGAGAGAGAGAGAGAGAGAGAGGCGGGGGGGGGGAGAGGGAGGGAAGGAACATTATAAGTAATATCACAGTTCCAATTGACTGTCTTATCTTACAAAGTTACATCCCGCGCGATTATTTCGCGCAATTTTGTCGAACGACGCGTTTGAAAACTTACAAATACGGATGATGAAATGATCGCTCTTTCGCTGTCATTGGCGGAACACTATAGTGCCGAAAATGATTTTCCATCTGCATATATCGAGCGAGCAATATCGTCGTAGAGCGCGCGATGTGCGCACATGTGAACGTGTGAGTATGTTATATAAACATGTCTACAGGCAATAACTACATTATACCTCGGGCACGTTATTAATAACGTAGTAATAACTACGTTATTGCACATGCTATCTATGGTTCATCACGGTTTTCGCGAACGAAGCAACATTATTCGGCGTGCCGCAAACACGTTTTGCAGAATCGTCATCGTAAAGTTTCTTCTTCGTTCATTGTTTACATCGATTTCGCATCCGATTCATTACTTCATTCTTTATTACGTTTCTCTCAATTATCAGGTCCCATCTCGCGCGTCGGAATTTCGATTTTACCCTAACTCCGCAAATTCCGTCAAATTTACCGTCAAAGACCAGTGAAGAATGTTGGGAGAATTTCGACTTGAGGAATTAAAATTGTTCTGGTCGACACAGTAATTCGAGCGAATAGACACATATATGTTATTATCGATCAGCTCCGAAACAACTCGTGACTCGTGTAAGGTTTTGAAAGTGTCGATTGTTGTAATTTCCCCTCTGTCAAGATCATGTGCGTGTTATTGATGGCGGGCAATAACGGCTAGTGGCTGTGGTGGGGATTGTTGTTGCTCATTGTTCTCGTAGTATTGTGCGTCGTGTACCTCTCCCCGACTGAGTGTCATTGTGTTTCGAGCCGACGAACGTGAGCGCGTCACTGTCCTTAAGACAGTTATCATTTCCATAGACTCTTTAAATATTATAATCGCGTTATCGTCGGCATTTCGCGTTTCTTTAATCGAACCGTACGCACGTGAGTGTTAGTGTCAGTGTCAGTGTCAGTGCCACGACAGGATATCCGAAGCAGTCGAGAGATGAAGGACCAGGACAAATTGACGCAGGATATCGAGACATGGACAACGATACATCATATTTTCCCGGATATGTCCAATCATATGTCCGATTTTATATCGGACATTCATTTTTTTAACGAACCGCGTACCGCGTACCGCGAGAAAAGAAAGGTGCCCGAGTCGAAATTTAGGCCGCTACTCGTAGCCCATCATTATTTTACAAATAATTCTAACTTTGCATTTGTATTTGTAAATCTTTAATTATTCGTTAACCAATATCACTGCACATTTCATAGCACAAGCAATATTCATCACAACAGCCGATTAATGGTTTATAAATATGAATTTGCAATTAATTATATTTTGAACCAAATACAAATTTGTATTAATTTTATCGCTATAAATATCGGCCTTAGAATACTTGATGCAAGTATTGAATTTGCAAATATTGAATTTGAATTTTGCTTGTCTAATAATGCTTTTTCGACCGCGAGTTTCGTTCTGTTTATACCGCTTTTTTCACCTTTGCTTGTCATTGTTATCGTATCGCGTCTGAATTAAAATCTCTATTGACACAAAGCATTATTGGGTAGTATCATGCAAGAATCATTATTGCATGCAAGAAATTGATATTTATATACAACCGCCCTTATAAGGGCAACAAACTCTTTCCTCTTCGTTCCTTCGAAACGTCCAAATCTGATCGAAAGCTGCCCCAACGCTGAAAAACTTCTGTAAAAAGTTCCCTCTCCCAAATTTCTAAAAGAAGAGGAGAAAACAAAAGAATCATAAAGTAAAATGTTGCTTGTTTCTATAACCTTACTAATCTTTATTACATTTCTTTAATATTTGCTTATCGCACACATTCTGTCTATCAATCGCGAACAAGGTGTTCGATTGATACATTACTTGTTGAAATTAAGAAAAAATTTGATACAGATGGAATATCGGCAATAAGTAAGCATTTACAGCATCAAGGTAGGTCCATAGTGTTATATATCAAAATTCTCTATTGATCCTGCAAGTTCAACGGAAGTTGCAGGATATTCATATAGATTCAAAATTTCGACTCGGGATTGTATGTATGCGATAATTATATGTATATATATATATATATATACATATATACTATAGAGCCTTGTTTAACGATCGTGAGAATCGAGATAACTAAACAGAAGAAACTGGGATCTCGACCGGGTTTCAGCGATGCTTGCGGTATCGCAGCATGCGCGAAACGAGAGTGTCGCAAAGGGTTAACCTTGTTATTGCGACTTATTTTCCTAACCAGTGAAGTGTTAAGGAGCGTTTAATTTCCACGTTATTCGATTAAAGGTTAAACGGCAAACTGTGTCGCGGGCTGAGCTCGATCGACGGGGACGAGCTGGCGTGTTACACGCGCGCGCACACACACACACACACACACACACATGTCGTGCATATGACGCGCGCGCGCGTGATGTGTGTATGTATATCGTGAGTATGGGATAAAAGTGAAAGGTCTTTCCCCTTGATATGACATTTTCCCGACCTTAAAGTGATTAAAGTAAAGTGTTTTATGCATCGATCGCGTGTCTACGGAGCTGAGCTTCCTCTTCCTGGTTTTTGAAAGGACGACGGTCGCGCGTGTTCGGTATACCCGGTGAATAAAGGCTGCCCAGAATATGTAAATAAACTAAAGCGGCTTTGCACATACACACACACACACACACACACAC